AAATTGCAAAGCAAGAAACTTTTGCGCTTTCCTGTTCATAAGTCGACGCCACGGGTTTTGTGTATCTTAGTGAGTCATAAATTCCGACGATTGCATAAAAAGCTTGCAGTTTTTACGTCTGAATTTGTAGTCGCAGCCGTAATTATTAGTTTTTCTTTGGAGTTTTACGAAGCAGTACCTACTTAGCAGCATTTTCCTTCTCGGCGTTATCAAAGGGTAGTGTAAGTTGAAATTAATTAGTTTTTAGTTATATTTTGTGCATTTTTTTTTTAAATATATTATGAAGTTGTTGCAACCTGTTGTTTTAAATACCAAAATTTGTGGAAAAATTGTGCATTTTAAAAGAACATGATGCATATTTGGTGCATAATTATCACTATTTTTGTGCATATATATGCGCATATTTCTACATGTTGTAGTGCATATTATTCCTTGCCTTGATTATATCCATTATCCGCAGTACAAAGTTGCCATTTAATATGAAAGATAAAGTGATTTCTGGTGCTTAGTCTACGCACAGTACGCGTACAGCCTTCGCCTAGAGTCTAGAGTTCTAGACTGTCTAATGAAAACCAAAACTGGGTATCCAATGTTATTCAGATGGTAAAGCAAAGCAAAGTTACGATTCATAACACCACGATACGGCTGCCGCACAGTCGCCGCGCAGTCTCTTTAATGGTAACCGGCCTTTAATAGTTAACAAATGAAAATTACTCCCTTTTTGCTGCTTTTATTTTAAAATATAAGATTTATTATCGTATCTCCTATCGACCGAACGCGTTTTTCATTACGCTCTTAATGCCCTTCAATTGTTTGCATTGAACTGTTATTGCAAATGAAACATACTCCGTTTAGGGTATTTGGCTCAAAGTATTGGCTGATTGGCCTTCCGTCTGTCACACGTAGATACATTTCTAGACGATTGAACCAATGTGGGCGATATGAGACTGATTTGAAAGGGAGTGGCGCAAGGGTCCGGTGGTACCGATATTATTGCTTTTGCGCATGCACAGTGTCAAGAATTTGGTTTGACACAATATGTGCACTGCTAACTTTTATATTTGTATAATTGTTTGATTTGCAGGATCAATATGATGTGATGAAAAATTGTGACCGTATAATAATAAATGTCAGTTTCATTTAAAAATTCTCGTTCAAAACTAACTTTTGTGAAACTGAACAGACTTCGACGATAGGCGGTTCATTTGAAAGAGAATTGGGCAAGAATCTCGTGCTCGTGCCTACCGACATTTTTTCCCAGCTCTAGCATTAAATTAGTAGGAGGAAAATACGCTCTCTTCTTTATGTTTGCAAAATGACTTTTTAACTTATGTACAAATTGCCCCACAAAAAACACAAAGATTGTAACATGTGCCTTTGTTGTTAATGACTTTATATGCGTTGGTTATTTATCGTTAATTTAAACCTACATTTTTTATGTATCTTTATGCCCTTGTATTGTTGCATATATTTATTGTAGCGGGTATTCCGCGTGTGGACCTATTGTCCATATTTATTAATTGTTACAAATTTTCTATTGCATTTATCGATTATGCGAGTAGGTATTCCAAAGCTAATTCCACACAATATTGGTTCTCTTTTACCGGAAATTGGACGGATTCGTATGGTACCGACTATGCAAAACGTACTTACTTACTAATAGCGCATTCCGTCAGTTACACAAAGCAAGAGTACATTCAACGGAACGTTACAAGGTGTGGCCAAGTATGAACTGCTCATCAATTTACAATCAAACAATTATCACAGAGCAAATGGAAATTATTTCTAGTTTTTTTGCAAGAGCGCCGTCCTATTTGGAAACGTATTGCAGAACATGAAATAGGCTAAAGCTGCTGTTTTTTAATAAAATGCCTCATAAATCCGTTAAATGATCTGATTTAGCAAATCTCGACGGATTTTCGCTTAAATGTCTGTCGTGACTCGTGCCACAGGTGGAGCTCACATATAACCTATTAACCTCTATTTTTTGGAATCAGTAAAGTTAAAGTGAAAGTATTGTATGGGGAGTGTGTGAAAGATACCGTTTTTCATAAATTTGGACATACCTTGAAGAAATTATTACCCTATAGGACTAATACTAATGAACAAATACCTAAGTATATTCAATATGAGTGTGAATGCAACATACATTGAGTGTAACAATTAATTATTAAACTATGGTTCCGTTCTCTGGGAACAACATTCCTGATTTGTGTCTGATAGATAGTTTTCAAAAAGGCACTAATATTATGAATCTTTTAATTTGGCGCTTGGTTGTGTTGTACTTTTACATAATCTATACGTATAGGCACCCAACATATAATTGATTGACATCAAGGCATTGACGTTAGCGTCGTACGTAAGGAAGCATAAATAAACGCCTGACGTCCCTTTAGGTGGGCAATGCATTATTTGCATATCAGGAACAGAATAAATCGGGCAGCTGCCAAGCACACAGTAAAAACACATTTTTTTCCGTACCAGAACATTTGAAGCGAAAATAAGCTTTACAGCCTCAACAAATTTGAGTGGGCATTCCTCATTTCACGCATATCTATAAATACGCCACAAAGATTTCTAAATATAAATCTTACTTTTGAAATAGTGAAACAAAAAAACACCTGGGAAATACTTGGCACTACTATACTTCAAAAACAATTCCTCGTACAAAAAATATAGAAATGCGCAAAATTATATAATATCCAGACGAACTGTGATGTGAGTCAATGAAATGCTATAAATGGCCGTTAGATATCAAAAAATTATTCCATGTGATACAACATAATGATCTAAATATAGGTGACACGATCATACAATCACTAATCTTTAGTTTTACTCCTACAAATTTCATTTATCTCTTATCATTGATGAAAATATCCGGACGTTTCAAACACGTGTCATTTAAATTTTAATGTGAAATAATAAAAAAAAAAACTTCTAATTGTTATAGCTATTTAGTCGTATTCAGGTACTAACAGCCTCCTTTCCATTATTTTATATCATCTTAGATAGCTAAGCCTTCATGTTAACAGCTCAGTTGAGTTGTAGCAATATTACAGATGATGGTTACACTGACCAAAAGGTCAAGTGATGATTCAGAATATTTTTGGGATAACATTTCTATGCGGTTATCGTAGGAAACTAAAAATAATTTATAGCATATAATGTATCCATCCTAACTCGATGTAACAGAGGTGGTGGAGGGGACCAAAAACTCTTTTTTTTTTCAAAAGTACACAAGTCTCAAAGTAGATATACACAATCGTCTGAGAGCGAGCTCGTCTGAGAGGTACACTATCAAAAGTTTCAAAATAGATCTTTCTTTAATTTTGTTCTTAATTATCATAGAAGAGAGAAGGATGCAACTTGTGGCTTTAGGTACCTAAGTTTCGGGTATAATTTTGTGACAATATTTTAAAAATTCCTACTCAAGATGCCTAAACGGGGGTGCGGAGAACAGTCTGAACTCAACGAAGAAAAATCCATTTTTTAAAATGGCCGGACCACAAAAATGTCTAGAGTTTCATAAAACTTGGTCGTTAACGGTCATGTGTATTATGTTAGTGTAGCCAAAGTTGGAAAGTGTTGGTTTCAACAGGATGGTGCACCCGGGCACAACGCCCGAACCGTGCGAGAATACCTACCGGACAAATTTGTTGCAAAATGGAAAATCTGTCCCATAGATATTCTGTATTTACTTTCAAGTCGGAAAAGAAAAAAAAACGGAAAAAAAGGGGTTGCGATCACACATTGCTAAACTTGCTCAACAGTTGCGTGGTCGCCTTCAAGATATATGGAACCGTTTCACTCAAGTAAAATCTCAAACTTAATACTACTATACTATTCCAAGATGCAATGCTCAAAAATTGATGTAACACAATGGCAGCTTTTTTAAAATGATTGTCTTCGTTTATTAGCTAGATATTTATTCTTCTTTCCTAAAAGTTTTCAACGTTTGACTAAAAATTTAGTTTCATGTGTTAAAAACATAAAAAACCAATCCCCTATTATCTTAAACTGCATAAATTTTATCACATTTCCCCTTAAACTAATACAATTTCCTAAAGAATACATTTTTAAATGTAGATGGGTCAACTTCACTGAGACGAGGCTCCTATAAGTAGTGGAGGCGAACGTAGATCTCAATTGAAAATTCAAATTTTTGCAATTTTAAATGATCTCGATTTTCGAGGGTAAACTGGCAAAACTTTTTTTTGATCTATATAGAACTGTAGAATTTGTTGGAATTTTCTGGGGATAACTTTGCGGAACTTCTTTTCAAAATTTACCTCGAACTGATCTAGAAGTATTGTTAGTGCAAATGGAAGTAGCAGAAGATATTGAATTTTGAGAAAATGAGGTGTTGTGGGAAGTTGGTACGTTGTTTCTTGACTTGGACTGCAATTATTTGAAGCGAGCTGTGCGTATATTGTCGTGAATAGTTCACAATAAATAGGTAGGGCAGTACAATAAAACAACTTAGTATTCCATAGAATACATTAACTAATAACCAGATTACATGAGCACTTAGATAGATGTCCTCAAGGATAAGTTACGCATAAAAATAAATACTTGTTTGATTTGTGCACCAAAACCATCATTGTTGCTCTTCAGAATGGATCAAGACCAGGTATAAAAGTGATCCCATTCCCTTAACCATAGTGAGAATTTACCAACGCTAAGTGAACTCACTAATATTGTGTATGGGAATGAGGTCATCGGATTCGAAGACAAATTTTGGTAGAAATCTTAAATATTTCATAGAGACATGCAACTTTTTTTTAGAAATAATCAATATTGTAATCGTTCACCTTTATTTCGTTACAGTTTATTCTTCGTGTTTCCTGAAGATCAATATTCAAAGTTCAAATGAGTAATAACGCAATTAAGTTTTCAAGTTGTTAAACTACCGCACAATGCTAAAGATCGTTATTTGCACAGTAGGTACTGTTTGATTTAATGAGTAAAATATGCACAAGGATTATGAATAATTTAATTACCTGAACGTGGCTGTTTACGCCACGATGATTTCCGGGACGACGTTTTGGCGGTGTTTAAGCCATCATCACAAAATATTGCAGCACAATTTTTTGAACAGTCGCCTGTGCACTAAAAGTACCCCTCGTTTCATCACAATAATTATTAAATTAAAAGCTTTAACACATACAACACCCAAAGTTCATTACATGAAAGTGCGTTATATTCGTGATAGAGCTAAAAAAATTAAATACATACTTCCTCATTTCTGCTTTCATAAATCAATACCAGTGACCTTGATAATTTTACACAAAGTCACATAATAGCGTAAACTAATAGAAATTTACAGCACTACGACACTTAAAATAATTTTAAAACAAACTTCCTACGGTAACGAAAAAACACTGAATCCACCTTGCTGGTGTTGAAATCAACTTATTGAAGGTGCAATAGATAAAAAAATTGGCTACATCCCATTGGAATCATTTCGTAATTAAGTACATTTGAAAATTACTACAACTGCAAGGACCAATTTCAAAAACAACGAGATTGCGTTAACTTGAACTGTTTTTATTTTCAATGGGGAAGTGTATATTTAACCATTTTTCGAAACATCACGAATATTTGCGGTGTTTGATCGTGTTTCAATGCAAATAGCACGTTACGTTAAACTTACATACATTTAACCACACTTTTTCAGGTAAATTATATTAGAGATTTCGATAAAATCCACTAAAATCCCGACCTGGCTTATATTCGATTCACTACAGTTAACAGAAGCGCCACCGCGACTGGGTCGTCAACTATAAAGCGCCGCGACGTCTCTAAATCTAAAACACACTTTAAATAGAACAATAAGGTTTGCTTACTGTATGACGATAAAACAACGATCTAAGCACAGTTTCCACTACATTATGAATTTTAGTCACTTCTACATAAAATCGGGATAAAATTAGATTGAAAATGTTCCATTAGAACAGAGTAAGGCGGGAAAATTTATGTTTATTTGAATGGAAACTCTTGGGGTTCATTATTTTATAGATTTTCCAATTTGAGGGTTACATGCATTTACAAATCTTAAACATTAAAACTCCTTTTCACTGAAATTGCCTATTAGGTAAAACCATATATCATGCTCTAAACTATCTCCACTGCGGCAAAACGTACTAGTTTCTCGGTTTAAGTAAATGGTGAAATATTAGACAACAGTCCATTCATTTGTAAAACAAAATTGGAAATTGCAGTGGATAATGTTTGCATCATTATTTATGCAAAATTATACTGTTGTGTACCTGTATACGTATAAACTATACGGGTACGGGATATTCCAGGCTCTTCGGCAAAAGGGCTTGGAACAGTTGCTCTTAGATTTGTTGCACCTCTTTACATCAGCCTCCTTGGCTTTAGGGCAGGGACCCGGACCGGACCGAAAAAGAACCGAAAAGCGGTAATCGATCTAAAGCTGACATCAGCTTCTTCCTTGGTCAGCATAGCATCGTGTTTTAGATGTGTTAAGATGAGCGGGCTCTGAATCTAGTTGCGAAAGAAAGAGGGTAGGCACAATATGGACCTTCGGTGTGGCTAAGTGCTTCCTGGTCGAGCTCCCCTCATGAACATCAGATAGATAGAATATAACATGTACCTACTTCTAGAATAACCGAAATAATTACTACGCCAACAGCAGTTATATTAATGTTAGGGTAGTTCCCTTTGTGCTACTTTACAGGAAAGAAATCGATTTTGGACTTTGTGCGCTGATCCCTGGTACGCCCAAATTACGGAAACAACGGGGTTTTTATTTTGACCACAAACCCACATCCAGATTTGTTATTTTTTTTCTATACCATTGCCATTGGATAGCTTAAGATAGATTTAGTTACAATTCTTGTAGAAGTATACCAACCTTATAAGGCAATAGATGGTAAACTTTTACCTAAATATTGGAAATACCATGGAACATGCAAAGAACATTTCTTTTTTCACCCTTTTGGCATTTACATATAGTGTTTAATTTTTTTTTTTGTGCCTATAGCCATGTATTTTCCTTACTTTTTTACCATCAGTTCATTTGTAAAATGCCCAAATAAACACATTATATTAATTAATGAATGACAAGAGGATGATTAAGACTAAGAGTGTATAACGCTTTGGTAAATAACTAAGGATCAGAAGGTCATGCGCAAGTACCTATGTCGGTGGAAATTGATTGTTGGAAATCTGTTAGAACACCTTCGAGGGATTGATTGGAACTGCGGAGTTTATGTTACTCTAATCTGTATTTGCTTGAAGTTGAGGATCTTGTAAAGTGTGACAGATAATTTAATCCATGATTTAATGAAGTCCCTTTTGGACTGATTACTCTAGATACCATTCAGTCGCAAATACATCATATCAAAATCTGATAGTGTAGTGCTACAGAATAATTTTCGTTGATTGTTTGTGTATGGTTATTGTGTAGATACTTAATTTTTAAATTTTCAACCTACCTCTTTTTTTTAGATTTTGTTCTAGATCTACTACTTTTGAATTGGTCGGTTGTGAAATACCTTCGGAATTTTGGTCACGTATCTGTCCTTTGAAGCCCAAAAACGCACAACTGGAGCCAATTAAATGTGTTTAAACAGAATTCCCTAGCTTAGACAATAGAAATGCCGATTTAAAAAAATCATTGAGATAGATACGTATCCAAAATAAAAATATCGGTTCAAGACAAATCAAAAAACCAAAAAATCGATTTCACAAAATTCGACTTAACTATAATCAATAGTGCAGCTCAGATAAACAAGCGTACCTGCATTTTTAGCGCATTTTTGAAAAAAAATACGCTGTTATATTCGTTATTGCTGGCAGGCCGGCTGTCCGCGTTAGATCTCCACAACTACAATAGCTAGAGACTTCAAATTTTCACTAAAAGCTTCCTGCTATAGTGTAGATGTGCAGGCACTAGTCTATTTTGAGTTACATTACTTGTGAGATAGATAATTGAAGAAAATAATTTCGATATGGGTTTCGGAGGTGCTATAATTTTACCGTTAGATAGCGCTACCAGTATAAAAACTTATTATTAAGGATCCTCAGATCCTTTATAGTTTTGTATTGTCGTCCGTCCGTCCGTCCGTCCGTCCGTCCGTGTGCGCTCTAACTCTTTTTAAAAGTGGCCGATTGTGTTGAAATTTGGTATACGGGTACGTTGGACATTAAGAACGGACGCTATTGATTTTCAGGAAGCTGGTTCAACAGGAACAAAAGTTATACGACTTCGAGTGAATCGGGAACAGGAAAAACTGCGAACTCAATATAATAAAAATTAACATATTTCATTCCCTAGGTCATGTATCGAGTTCGGACTTTCGCTAGATTATTCCCTATGACTCTTAGATGTGTAACAATTCAATATAACTCTTCTCTGTGGTCTCGGTCAAAAGTTTTAGAGCAAAATGTACCCAAAATTATTCTTTACACATGAATTTAGAGTTGTAAAAGCTTTCAAACGCATTATCTTGATGCTGAAAGAGTTGATAACGTGCACGTTTGATAACCGCATGTGTGTGATTCAAAAATGTTAAATTATTTTTCTGAGGCCACATGGATTTTGATCAAAATATGTCAAAATCGTTAATTATGCACCAAGATCGTTGGGAAAAGACTAGGCGCATTATCTCAATGCCCAAGACATGAATTTGATGAATTTTTGGCGAAAACGTGGATTTTGATCAAAACATGTCCAAATCGTTATTTATGCACCAAGATCGTTGGGAAAAAGATCAAGAGCATTATCTCAATGATCTAAACATGAATTTGATCTATTTTTATGGACCACATGGATTTTGATCAAAACATGTCAAAATCGTTATTTATGCCCCAAGATCGTTGGGAAAAAAACCAAGAGCATTATCTCAAAGCCCAAGACATGAATTTGATGCATTTTTGTTAACTATAAAATGTATTTTGTAAGATTAAAATAAATTGTCGTTAAAAGTGATTGTAATACTGAGGATCCTTCGATATTTCGTTGTATCGGTTTATTTACTTTGTGATTTGTTTTACAAAATGAAGACGTACCGTGAATTTAAATTAAATAATAGTTATTTATTTAATCAGTGGGATAACGGCCTCATTAACTTACGAATGCGACAATTGCGCATACGAGGGCGTTAGTCCGAGCTATTGTAAGAGCATGAGTATGTTAATGGCCGTTAGCCCAAGTATTAAATACAACTTTTTATCTGCGACTGTTCTTCTACTGCTAAAAACGAAAAATAAATTTGATGCATTTTTTTTAAATTTCAATCGAAGTAGCATAGTTAGCAGTTTTCGACGCCATAGAAATCCTAACGTCAAGAAAATTTGTACGTCAAAAATTTTGCTTCTGATTTCTTTGCTTATGTCATGAGTGAGTCTGGAACTCTTCCATCAGACGTTAATGTTTACAATATATAATCTTGATAGTTGATTTTTGATCATACATTGTTTTGACAAGGGCTTATCCCACCGAGTGTGGTAATTAAGTTCTTATCCCACTTAAAATGACCGGGATAAGTGAGAGTTATCCTACAGGCGCAGATAAAATTAATTATTTAACGCAGCCAAAATTACTCGTGAGATCGATAATTTTAAACTTCGCTAATAAAATACTGACCTGCATTACCAAAAATGCGCTTTAATCATGCATATGCTGATTTACAACTTGTTTACTCAGTAAAGTAAAAAAGTACTATATTAGTGAAATAAACAAAGGTTTTAATATGAAAGACATAAATAATTTAACACAGTAAATGTTTGAAATTAAGAATGGAGGAATTCTGGAGAAATGAGGAAGAAATTTGGGAAAACTTTAAGGAAATATTTCATAGAAATACAAATGGGGGAAATTTTGTACAATTTGGATTTCAGAGAAAAATCTGATCTGATCTGAATTGTGGAGAAAATGGGTAAATTCATGGCAATGCAACAACTCTTGTGGAAAAAATAGAGGAGAACAGATTGGAAGACAGATAATAATATTCTGGGGGAAAAAGGGAACTTTGGGAGATGAAAATTAAGAAATTCTAACCGAAGAGTTTTATAAAATACATAGCATTTATAAGGGTGTTCGTAAAAAAATTATTGAATATATGCAAATTTGGACGAAACAAACCAAGTTTCCTTGGTTTCCAAGTTTCGTATAACATTTGTACAAATTCGACGTCTTTGGATGAATTAAAGGGATACATATAGGTACATCGTGGGAGAATAGGATAAATTTTGATGGACCACGAAATGCTAGAGAAATGAGGAATGTTGTGGAAGTAAAACAAAATTCGGAGGGATACTAGGGAATTCGAAAATGAGCAGATCCTAATGAACTGCGATTACTCATTTTGTATAGAAGAAGAAATTTAAGTCAAAGAGAGGATAACAGCAAGTCTTGCGGAATGAAGAATTCTTGGCAAACATGATGTATCTTTGGGGAAATCTTTACAGAAGATCTTCTGGCGATATAGAGAGGAAATCTTAAAATTTTTGGTAATTGATCAATTGTAGGAAAATTAAGACATTGGGATCTGGAGGAATAATAATAATAATAATATAATAATGAAAACGGCCAACATCGTAAGAAGGTTCCTTAACCAATAACAAGCCACATCTGCACGACTTGGTCACGACCCGTCTCATGTACCACAACCACTATGTGTGAAAATAAACAAATAATAATAATATATTAGATTAAAAGGAGACACACCAATTAATCAAGTCAGTCATAGAGCTTGCAATGAATAACATATTCTTCTAGTGAATAAGGGGTACAATCAATGAGCAAACGTCTCACAGCTTTTTTAAATAAATGATACGATGTAATCGTTTTGATGTTAGAGGGTAAAACATTGAATAAAGTAGTACCTTTATACAGAACACCTTTTTGATATAAGGCACTACTATGTTTTTGAACCTTAAGTAAACAGTTTCGTAAAGGGTATTTATGATTTGCAACGTCGGTTGTAAAGTAACATCGATTACAGTATACGAAGCAGAGGATTGTATACACATAAATACCATACAAGGTCAGCATACCTTGTTCTTTGAAAATTGGTTTGCAACTGTCTCGGTACATTGCATTGTATATAATTCTAATCGCTCTTTTTTGTAATAAAAATATTCTGGCTAACCGATTGATTCCACTACCTCCCCAGAACATAATTCCGTATTTAAGAGTGGAATAAAAATATCCATAGTACATATTTTTTAGTATGTCTGTGCTACAATGCGATGAAGCTACTTTGAGTGCATAACATAGTTTAGATAACTTAGAACAAAGGAAGTCGATCTGTGTAGACCAATTTAACAATTGATCAAAATACAAACCTAATAATTTGCAATTATCAGTTGCGTTGGCAAGTAACTCGTTAAGCGGTAGTGCCTCTATGGAATCGATTTTAGAATGTAGAGATCGAAACAGTATAAAAGCTGTTTTCTCTTTATTGACCTTAAGTCCGTTTAATTCTGCCCAGTCTAAAATTGTTTTGTATAATGCACATAGTTTATGTCTAATATGTTCTATAGTAGTACCTAGAGTCGTCAGCATAAGATACAATGGTGGTGTTGTTATCAACCTTTTTAACATAATTATGAAGGTCATTTATGAAAATTAAAAACAAAGTGGGACCAAGTATAGAACCTTGTGGTACCCCACTGTTGATAGGAGATTCATCTGAATATATTTGCACACCTTCTTTGGTATGCACAACCTTTTGAGACCTACATGACAAATACGAAGCATACCAGTTTATAGATACACCTCGTATACCATAATTATAAAGTTTCGACAGCATAAGAGTCAATCTAGCGTTCTAGAGAATTATAAGATTTTCACGAAACTGTTGTTAAATCAAAGCCCTTTTTCTCTCTTCCTCCCTAGATTGTACATAAATGCCGGAAAATTTCGCACCCCCAATTATTTTGCTTTAATTACAAATGAATTCTACCAACGACAACAAATTTGGGTACGTAAGATTGCGTTATGAAATTGTGGAAGTGCTATCTTGACGTCGAGATAACACCTAATCCTGTTGCAACAAATACTAAATTAAAAATGTTTGCATAATTATGAAAAAAATTTATTTTCGTTTTATTTTAATAGAATTGGCTAGTATCTTGATGTCAAGGTGCCTCAATGTAAAATTTTATTTTCTGATAATACCTGTGCATCGATGACTATACCTAAGTGCACGAGACTATTTTCCATGTAAACGTTATAGCCATTGAACACCAGTAAGAGCTAGTTCAAAGTTTCCGCTGCGACTCTTGACATTCGGGTTGCACACAAAACCATTCTTACGATTTATTAATTGAGGTTCAGGTCTCGGATACAATTTTTCCAAAGAAACATTTCTTTTATTTTTTCAATTCAACAAAAATGATTTGATTATTTTGTGGCTTCGAAAAAAACAAAGTAAAGCCTATACACGCATTTACGTACAACATCTCAAGAAATGCTAGGTATCTTCAGAGCTTTCAAAAACTTAAAAATTTAGTTTCCATACCTTCTTTTGTAGATGAATTGACTTCAAATCGTGACCATATGGTCGCATGCATACTCACTGAGTAAGATTGACTGCACTTAATTAACATCGCAAGAATTCAAACGGTACGATATCGATACAATCTACCCCGAAACGCGGTCATGACCAAACTGGTGACAAATTCAAAATCACAAATCACCTGAAACTGGTTTCTTCTATGAAATACATACAATACATTCGGCGGCCAAAGTCGATCACTCACCTTTCACTTATTTATGTTTTCTTACACATTTGTGAGGTGCTATTCCTCCAATAATTTTCGTTTTCTGGGGTTTTCACACAGTGGGTCCCGCTGATACCATGTCTTCAGACTTGGTCTTTGGAAGTTTAAGAGGTTGCTGCTGCATGTGGAATCATGTCACCGATCTCACCATGTTTAAGTTTTTGTGATGGTCGTCGTTGCGATTTGCGAATGTATCACAGAACATGCACTAACCCCGCAATACTTGGTTTTGGAATTAATTTTATAGTAGATCGTCATTTGTGTACTTAGCGCAGTCCCACAAGGTGTAGGCTAAGTGCCCTTGTTTTACTCAGTGTAAGCAGTCCACTTTGGGGACTTCATGATGAGTTACTTTCTTTTTAGCGCATTTTTGCAAATTTATTTGTAAAACGCTCACTTTGACCAACTGGCTTGCTGGCTGGTAGCAAATGCGGCCGTAGAAAGATCTACATATTGGGGCCGTGTCATTAACAACGGGGATATATGATGTGGGGCGGCGACATCTGGGCTCAATAGCCGAGCGTGTTGTACTAAAGTGGTGATTTTGAAGTTGTTCCCTATCTTTTTCTACAGTTTTGGTCCGATTGTTTTCAAATTGGTGTCGTCGGAAAAATCTTGTAAACGCCACAAGTCCTGGATGACGGAATTTTATTTTTTTTCTAGGGGCAAAATTAACCATCTTTTGCAAGGCGCGCGTCTTCCAAGGGTTGTCGACTTTAGGAGCCCAAAAGCTTCTTAGAGCTCGAATCGCGGTCTCTCTTTCTGGTGTCGCTAATGGAAGCTCGAGCTATGAGAAGTTTTTGAGCTATTTAAATCAAAGTTGTCTCCAAGTACCCTTCTGAAACGGATTTAAAGAATAGCCTCAATTTAAACCAGCTCCCCAATAAATCAAATCAAAGCAAAAGTTGAGATTGTGACACTGTGTATCGCAATCATACAATCTTATATGAGTACCATGTATTTTGATCTGTCTTGAAGTTACCCCCAATTAAAAGTTTGTGAAAGTTATAAACATAACCTCTAAAATTCTTTTTTCATTGATATTTTGTAAACAAATAAAAAGTGATGGTTAGTTTGAATAAGTCTTTCTTCTACGGTATTGGTTTTGCTTCGATTACTTGGGCAGTATCCTTGTACCTGTATTGGCAGTTAACGCAAACTCTCTCTATACGACCCAGCCCCACTTCTAGCAGTATACAGGCAGTTAGTCAATCAAGTCGAATAGATGCAGCTCGAGAGAATGACGAAATGCACGAGGCGCCTTATATTAAAGGGGGAACTTACGTCAACAGCCCTCAGTTGGTTAAAAAACTGCAACCGCTGCGTAAATCCAAGCTTCAGAGTAAAAACGCGCAAGGTAATGCCGCATTTCACTTTACTTTTGAATTTTACACTAGAATTTGTAGTGCTAGATGAACTTGGAATGGTGAAAACTGTTGAAGATCAAAGAGTACGTGATGAAGGGTTCAAATTGCACGCATTCAATGTCCTTATAAGCAATAAGCTGAGCCTTCATCGTGAACTACCCGACACGAGAAATAAGTTGTGAGTAATGCCTTTCATCTTTCATGTGATTTACCGTCCTTTCAGGTGTAAAGATGTCATTTACCCAGCCCACCTTCCAGCCGCCTCTGTGATAGTCTGCTTTTACAATGAACATTTTATGACACTATTACGAACGATCCATTCGATTCTTGGTAGAACCCCCGGGCAGCTGCTCACCGAAATTGTTTTGGTTGACGATTTTAGTGATATATCCGATTTAAATATCAACCTTACAAATTACATGAACAACAACAGTGGGCTGAAGGAGAAAGTGATGCTGTTTAAAACTCAGAGACGCGAAGGTTTAATCAGGGCCAGAATGTTTGGTGCTCAAAGAGCAACCGGAAAAGTATTAATATTTCTCGATAGTCATATTGAAGTGAACGTTGATTGGATACAGCCTCTGTTAGCTAGAGTGTATAACAATCGATCAAACGTCGCTATCCCAGTTATAGACATTATAAATGCGGATACGTTTGCGTATACACCTAGTCCTTTAGTGCGTGGAGGCTTTAATTGGGGCTTACATTTTAAATGGGAAAATTTGCCTACAGGTAATGGAATAAGTATGATTTGTGTCTTGGTTCATAGGTTTTGTGTGCAAGACTGATTTGAATAATACTTAGTTAATCTATGGAGACTAAAATTTTGCAGCACCCTGTAAATTAGTCGGCTGTCTTTGCTCTTTAGCCAATGTGAGGGACTTTGATCAGAACATCTTGTAGAAAGAATTCACTGGTCTTTGCATATTTACAGGGTCCATTTGGATAGCTTCACTTAAAGTGTCATTTGGTAATTACTCAATAATAGAACGAGCTTTCCCCAAAGTTTTACAACTACACTGGTCGATGATTTAAATCTTTTATTAAGACTTCTTTTACACACTTCATTTCGAAACTGACGAACGGCGTCTTCAACAAAATTAAAAGGGCCACAGGCCCGTAACTTAGCGTAAACAAATTTAGATTGTCGCGAGCTAAAAACAGCAGCAGCCCTCATTTTCCCTTGTCTCACAAATTTAAGGGAATACACTTCCATTATAGAATAATCTCTTTGCTCCTGTATTTCTAAAAAATGCACCAATTATAAATAGATTAGATAACGCCGACTGTGAAAGAAGGCGTGCAGTCTTACGCCGAAAACAACGCGCACATCGTTGACCACCTTCATCTCGTTTTATCAGCACCTGAACACATGCCTTAATTGAATTACATCTGATAACACTCCTTATCGCAAACTCTTAAATAAACCCTTTCATAAAAATACGCAAATTGACCAGATGTCCCTTATTTAAAGAGTCTTATCTAAATCGAATAATTGACACAAATGATACAATTTAAACAAAAACCAAAAGAAAAAATAACACTGAGGCAGAAATTCAAGTAAAACGAACCAACTCTAATTTTATTTGCATCGTTTCCTATTATTTTAGGTACCATTGCGAAACCAATTGACTTAGTCAATCCGATTAAATCCCCGACGATGGCCGGCGGTCTGTTTGCGATAGATAGAAATTATTTTATGGAAATAGGCCAGTATGATGCCGGTATGGACATCTGGGGCGGAGAGAACTTGGAGATATCATTTCGAATTTGGATGTGTGGTGGCCGCCTGGATATAGTACCTTGCAGTAGAGTGGGTCACGTATTTAGGCGACGCAGGCCTTATGGCGACCCCGACGGTAAGGATACAATGCTGCGTAATTCGCTCCGGGTGGCGCACGTTTGGATGGACGCTTACAAGGATTACTTTATAAAAGAACGACCCGATGCCAGCAATGTGAATTTTGGTGACGTGTCAGAACGAGTGCAGTTAAGGAAACGTTTGAAGTGCTATGACTTTAATTGGTATATTAAGAACGTGTATCCGGAACTTACTTTGCCGACAGATTCTGAAGTAAGATTGAAAAACAAGTGGTCCGCTCTGGAACAGGATAAATTTCAACCTTGGCATACACGGAAACGTAACTATGTAGATCATTACAAGTTACGATTGTCGAACACAAGTTATTGCGCTCAAAGCACTAAGGATAGTAAAAGTAAAGGCAGCACATTATATTTGAAACTGTGCACGCCAAGCAAAAATCAGGTAAGGATTAGGTTTTATGTACTCATCAAGGAGCACTGTAACTAGTTACAAGAGTTACTTAGCTATAACAAAATGACTAGGACTAGAGTTACTAGCTGTAACCAACTCTGATATTTCAAGTTTTTCTTGCTATTGTTTAGGGTTAAGTCCCTTAAATCAATAGAACAGTGCTTATTGTAAGGAGCTACTGTAGAATGTATGGTCACTGCATTAAATCATTCATTAGACATGATCACTATTCACTAGTGAGTAGTGACTAGATACTTTCAAAACTATCTTTCTGGTTATCTACTCACTGACGAACCTCGAGTAAATAGTTAGGTAATAGTATCTTTAGTTAAATGTAACCAGTACTGACGGTGCATTACATTTATTTGTAATTTTGTAGATTTGGTTTGAAACGGATAAAGGTGAACTAGTCCTGCAACAACTGCTGTGTTTACAGTCGGGTCCAACTTACCCTTACCTATTTAAATGTCACGAAATGGGAGGAAATCAAGAGTGGAAACATAAAGGAGAGGTGAGTTAGAAGGAAATGTTTGAAAGCGTAGGAACAATTTGATTACAGAGTAAGACGCCCATATACAACATGGCAGCTGGTATGTGTCTCGGTGTTGATCAGATACATTTAGGAGCAAAAGTAAGAATGAAGTTATGCACTGATCCTTCTTTAAATATGTGGGATTTGGTCAGCTAACAGAAGTTTACTGATTTCAGACTGAATAAGATAGTTAGTTACTAAGTATTATGTTTTTTATGGAAATACTCTGTTTGATTTTATGGCGTACTTAATATTTTATATATTTAACTGGAGATTTATATAGGTAACTGCATTATTGTCAGTTTACTATTCAATTTATGGCTCTCTTTTAGTGTTTTTTAGACTGATCTTATAATATTGATATTAAATTGTTTTATAATGAAGGTTAGGTCTTGTCTGTTAATAGAATTTGAACTGAAATGTACTATTTGTTAAATAAAAGTGATTAGTTTTTTTTAATTTTTTGATTTAGGTTAATTTGTTTCATTTGTTTAGTAAGACCCACCAATATAAGATTCTATAAATAATCCCCGACCCCATCGTATCGCATTGGTGTGTGTGTAATATATTTATCTGCTCTTGTCTCATCTTACACACATAATTCTGCGTATTATTCATTCAGTCTCACATCTCAAAACATAAAGGAACCGATCATTACACCAACGTTGGAGTTCATTCGTGCCACCAAGATTCAACTCAACTCATGTCCTAAACAGATGCTGTTTGCTGCACCTCATTTATTTAGCAACGGATCATTATACTTAACTAAACAGCCGTATGAAAATTTCCACTCTGTAACTCTGTAAGGCCCATTGTTACCTTTACAAGTCAACCATACGGTCTAGCATTATCTACGTAAACCATGCTACATCGTTCTGGGCTGTTTTCTATTCTGGTTTATACTTAACATTATGAACAAAAGCTTTCGAACGCAACAAACACATTTGTTAACATACAAGATCGCCAAGGATTTAATGTGTGCCCAGTGCGCTTTCATCACCAAGCATAAATCCAGACTTAAAGCACATCTTAACATCTGTCAAGATCCCGGCAAGGATTTAAATGTGACCGGTGTGATTTTGTGAAATACACATCCAATTTTAAAATTAACACAAGATCAGTAATAATTTCAAGTGCGCCTGATATGAACTAAGTACAACAACGGTACCTCTCTTTATGTTTCGCCCTCAGTTTCGCCTCGCCTGGCCATATCTTCCTTCGCCCCGGAAAACATCCACTTTCCCGGCTTGGTACACAAAGTACCTACATTAATTGCTCCTATGCGAACAGCTACAAACGGAATTGTTAAATACGGCCTTTTGTTTTCCTTATCGGGCGCCGGGTGGCTCTACAAGTTATACCGCTACTTTCAAGCTTCTATTTCTAACTCCTGCAACATAAATAAATATTTTCGGGACGATATTCTGAAAATTTTCCCTACAAATGGAACAAAGTTACCTGGCAGTTTAAGTTTATGACAGAGGCGTGGTCTTTGGGCGAGATATGCTTTCACTAAAGGTGCCGCTTTACTTGAAAAACAAGTGATTTATTGCCAGATGGGAATACATTTTAACCCATTCCCACTCCCACAACCTTACGGATTACACTTCATACACATTAACGATACATATGGTACGTGCATGGGACCTTTTTTAGGTAGGTAACCAACCACATAAAACAAAAGAATGAACGCGGTACATAAGGAACCTTTGCAGTACTTCACACACGAGGATATTAATTATTACCATTAGTTGCCTTGTAGTGTAATTGAACTTCCAAACTACCTACCAATATAAATTACATACCTATAGCGATACCTCCTGACTATTACCTATCCTTAATTGTTACATTTTGATTTTGTATTATATGATGCTAAAAATACTACCTACTCACAAACTGTACAGGGCCTGCATATAGATGCCATTTATTTTAGTACTAGCGGTATACCAAAAGATACTGCATTTTGTTATACCAAGGTGCCACTTGGTACAGCTGTTTCTTAGAGCCATTTAGACGATTTGACCCGAAGAACACTTGACATTTTCCGTGTGGGTAGATTTTAGAGGGGGTGGGGGTGATTTATTGTAACATTTTTTAAAAACTAAATATGGCCTAGAGACGAGATCTGGGTATCGATTTCGTATGATTTTAACCCGAGGAATCCAATGGTAGCGCGAGAAATGTAATCCGGATACAAGAAGTCCGTGAAAAGCCGCCATTTTTAGAAAATGACAGACTTTTGATCGAATTATATTTCTAAGGCACACCGGGTCGTGTAAGGTGTCTAGACCTATGTTTTGGGGCCAGGGAATTCATTTATGATAACAAAAATAACCTACTGGCATCGGAACTGCATGAGAGGCCCCTACTGCACTTTTTGAAGACGTCGCATGCGGTGAAACCCAATTAGATATTCCAAAGTTTTAATACCTATATAAATTTGTAATATTTTATTTATTAAAAATACACATTAACAAAACATAAGATATATTAAAACATGGGGTAAAAAAAAGCCCATGCCATGAAGGATCACCAAGGACATCGCTGACCTCCTCTAAGATTACGTTATCACCACAGTTGAAAAGGAATTTCACATACCGGGTGAATATTTTTAAACCGATCATAGGTGAGAAATACACCTGAAAATGAAATAATTCGTATATCATTAGACGAGGAAAAAATCTTCTTTCGATTGGTGTCATTATAAACCCTCTAAGTTAACATGGGGACAACTGTCTACAAAAAACTCTTTTCCATGTTAATTCCTTATGTTCGGTTTGGGAATATTCACCCGGTATAAATATTAAAGGTTCGGTAGTAAATTATATTGAACGTATACAATATTCTTACTCTTTGTTTGAGCAATCTCCCACACATTTTTGACACGCAGGGGAACATGGCAATCCGTGTCGCCGGCAGCTGCACGAATTGCCTTTCATACTTGTGGCAGCTTGGACCACAGAACCTTCCAGCCTTTGGCTTCAAAAGCTTCTCATCACCTGGTTTGCGCATCCCCAGATATGGCCAGCGACATACGCCGCCCTCCTTATGCGATCCTCCAACGAAGCACGAGTTGGAGGAGCACAAACCAGGTGATGAGAAGCTCTACAAGTCCAGAAGGATGGGGATGGACTCTTGAAGCCAAAGGCTGAAAGGTTCTGTGGTCCAAGCTGCCACAAATATGGAAGGCAGTTCGTACTCTGGACATGTGTGGCTGCGCGAGAGCCTGCGAGACCCTTCGGTGCAGGTGCCGGCGACACGGATTGCCATGTTCACTTGCATGCCAAAAATGTATGGGACATTGGTCAAACAAAGGGTAAGAATATTGTATACTTTCGATATAATTTACTACCGAACCTTTAATATTTATATGTGAAATTCCTTTTCATTGGTGATAGCGCAGTCTAATCTGTAAATTCCGTGCTGGTAAAATTCTTGAGGCTGCTTAGGGAACCATTCTCTAACCGCAAACTGTACCTGAGCGTCCGTCCGATTTGAACCGCCGTCCTTTTAGCAATTGCTTTATTAATGGGCCAAAAACATGGTAATCGCAAGGTGACAGGTCGGGACTGTAAGGCGGATGTTGTAAGACTTCCCACTTCATGCGACTAAGCAGTTCTTGAATCGGCTGGGCTACATGTGGTCGGGCATCATGCAGAAGAATGACACCATTTGTGAGCTTCCCGGGACGTTTTTCTTGATGCTGACCCGTAAGCGTTTCAGAGTGTCTGTATATCGCATATACAGCTTTCATTCTCGTATAGGTACATTTTCGTTGGCTGACGTCCTTCAGCGGCCAAAAATTAAATAACGGCACGCAAGTTTTCTTTGGATGGATTTTCTACCATGTATGCGATTTTCAAACGCAGTCCCAACGCTTAGAAAAGAGCAAACTGCAAATAGTTTTGTCAGACGCTTTACTAGTATGTAAGCAAACAATTTAAACAAATTAATTCGGTTGCCATGACGACCAGGTCATGGCTGCATAGATCAAACGTGTTTCTATTGAACAATCCTCGTATCTTATGTTTTGTTAATGTGTATTTTTATTAAATACAATATTATAAGTTTATATATTAAAACTTTGGAATATCTGGGGTTTCACCGGATCACCGCGTGCGACTTCTTCAAAAAGTGCAGTAGGGAAGCCTCTCATGCAGTTCCGATGCCATTAGGTTATTTTTGTTATCATAAATGAATTCCCTGACCCCAAAAACATAAGTCTAGACACCTTACACGACCCGGTGTGCCTTAGAAATATAATTCGATCAAAAGTATGTCATTTTCTAAAAATGGCGGCTTTTCACGGACTTCCTGTATGCGGATTACATTTCTGGCGCTACCATTGGATTCCTCGGCTTAAAATCATACGAAATCGACACCCAGATCTCGTCTCTAGGCCATATTTAGTTTTTAAAAAAATGTTACAGTAAATCACCCCCACCCCCTCTAAAATCTACCCACACGGAAAATGTCAAGTGTTCTTCGGGTCAAATCGTTTAAATGGCTCTAAGGAACAACTGTACCAAGTGGCACCTTGGCATAACAAAATGCAGTATCTTTCAAGAATTTCCGTTATACCGCTAGTACTATTTACGTTTTCGCCATCAGGCTTTTGTTCTAATGTTTATTATTTCATTTGGTTCCTGGCACAAATCTTTAGAACATTATTTTTTTCTTTTACTACACGAAGTCAATGATGTGGTTTAGTTTGACCACAGAGTATACAGTTTGACCAACCTTTGTATATCCTGTGCCATTTAAATAGGTACCATTCCTACAACATTTTACGTAATTTAAAGAATTGCGAATCATTTTTTACATATTGTTAATAATTGTTAATTTTGTTCGTGAAGTACCTAATCTTTGCAGGTTTCGCGGATTGCTATGACAGCCTTGGCTTCTTCATCACTGCACTGTAATTATAGTTTTAGAATGAAGTTAATCGGCATTATAATTAGACGCTTAAGGACTTAAGGTGTAAGTCTGTAGGTAGGTACCAAAAAAGCACGCACTATTTATTAGTAACAAAAATACGAAAAAATACATCACAAAGTATAACAAAACATTCACATAAACTCACTGACTGACTGACAGACATTAGATAATCGAAGACAAACTGGGTGCTCAACGTAGTTCGCCGGAACGAATACCATTTCTTCAAAATACTTGTGCGTCTGAAGGCGTTACTTATACTTATTGCATTACCTAAGTATGAGTCGCTTTTGCTAATTCACCTAAGAGTCTATCAACAGCAACATCACCAACAGTTTGCCTAAATAAAAGTTCCTCCAATCCTCTTCGCGATATAGATTGCACAGCAAGTAATGAAAGCAGAAGTTTTCCAAATCTACCCTTGTACGAGGTGTATTTTTGTGAACAA